GGGTATGTGAGTCATGCTGGCCACATGAGATGCACATGTAATAACCAACTCTAGCATCCCTATAGGTGATTGAGAGATGCCTACTCCTGGTTATCGACTAGACAGTTGTAGCGACATCTCGCCGCCTATCAGTTGCCTTCAGGTGATCAAGAGATGCCTACTCCTGGTTGTCAAACCAGTAGGTCGTAGCGATCTCTCGTACCTTGACTTCAAATGGTCGAGAGATACCTACTCCTGGTTCTCAACCAATAGGTCGTAGCGATCTCTCGTGCCTCGACTTCAAACGATCAAGAGATACCTACTCCTAGTTCTCAACCAGTAGGTCGTAGCGATCTCTCGTACCTTGACTTCAAAAGGTTGAGAGATACCTAATCTTGGTTCTCAACCAATAGGTAGTAGCGATCTTCTCGTACCTCGACTTCAAATGGTTGAGAGACGCCTACTCCTGGTTGTCAACCATTAGGCCGTAGCGATCTCTCGCACCTTAAACTCCAGTGGTCGAGTTATGACTATAATTGGTCTTCGACTAGTGGTGTAGCGATTCTCCTACTAACTCAGCGATTTGTTGAGTACAACTATACACCTGGTCTTTGCCCAATGTGGTGGTCATCTCATCATCTACGCCAATTTCTGTAAGTGTTTATATGTGCAATATTTGTCCGTTGATCTCCTTTTCTTGTATTGCCTCGTCTTGAAGTCTGTCCTATCGTCCCTTTACACTATTCTAACAAAGCCTCCGAAAAACCTAAGGGGATTTCGGCTAGGAACGCCCAGAGCTGATAAGGCTTTGTTAGATACTGCAAAGCCAAACGACCATGTCAGATCTGGTCATGTTAGAGTGCTCACTGGATGCATATTAACTAAGCCGTGTAATCGGGAATTGGTTTTCTCAACTTCACGGCTGGGGGCTGGTTTGTTATAAGATTTAAACTGCCTTTGTGGAAAATGGCTTTTTCCATAAAAACAGCTAGGGGCTAGGAGGAGTACCGAACTCCGTTTGCTAAGGGACTCTAGAGAGTATACTCTTTTATTGTCACACGCAAATTCAACTTATTTTTAATTTTTCCATACATATTATAGCATGTTACCCTTGAGCGTTTGCTCAGGGGCTATTTCTATTTAATATTCTGTTATGAGTATTGATTTCAGGAAAGTTCCATTCAGCGTTATCGAGGACTCCATGTCTCTACGATTCTACACCGGGAACGACTAAGCGAGTACGACAAATGTTCTGACTACTGATTTCAGGAAAGTCAGACATCAGAACAGTCAAGTCAGATTTCAGGGCTTTGTCGCAGACTTTGCACCTTATCGATTATCCGAGAACGGTTGGTGGAGTTAGACAAGGATTATGGAATGAAGCGATGGTGTACCCGTCGAGACAAAATTTCTTGACTTTAATCTAAATTCTCAATTACGGCAAGACAGGAGACTTAGTCGCATGCTCCATACCTTCTTGGTTAACATCGGAGATTAACCTAGACAAACCGAATTAAAAATTAGGATAGGTACTGCTCTAAGATTACCTCTTTCAGACTTGGGGAATTTTGGAAGCTGCATCAAATCACGAAAAATTAAGGAAATTATTCGCAATAATACAAGTTAGCGATTAATTTAACAAGTGTGTATTACTTACCTCGTTGTAATTCGCGCAATATTTCCCATTACCCCTTAGGAACTCGCTGGTGTAATATCCGCATAGTACGGTTCCCACCGGTTGCTTGTGACACTTTCAACATCAATTGATTGTAAGGTATATTAGGTTATTAAATGGATAGACACATGCATTTATGAAATTTTAGTAGTACTGTTTGGCATTCATATGTACTTACCGGCCACTTATTGCGGACGAATATGCGTTCTCTTGATTTTTTGCGTTGTCCGCCTTGCTGGTAATACCTTTTAAATGCACTGTTTGCAGATATAATTAATTTACATTCCTCAAAGATTAAAACACGTCATGATAATATATAACTTGCAGGTCGATAGTTCTTAGAAATTCCTGATATGTCTTGCTGTCTTCGTCAAAGAATCCAAGACGATGACTTCATTGTACTTTAGATAGAGAAGAAAGAGTATCCAATGGTCGCTGCAAACAAAATTGTTAGTCGAGCCGTGATTATATGCATATACTCTTAGTGGATATTAAAACTTACTCAAAGGCATATGGGGCATAAACGCACTCCTTGTCCTGCGTAGATTGAAGCGCTATAGCTACGTAAGTAGTGACATCGAGCAGTTTTTCCTGATGCCTTTGCCCTATGTAAGTTGTCCTCTCTTCGGGAGTCATCGCCTTGATGTGTTCCGGTAGCTTCCTCTCATCTAGCGTGTATGTGTGGTTCGGCTGACTTATCCTGCACGAGTTTAGGTAGCCGACAGGCTTTCTCATCGCTTCGGCTTCCATGTAATTCATCCTGCCAACAATGGATGATCAAATGAGCTACGCATATAGGTATAGTGATTTATTAACACGTTCAAGTCTAGCACTTACAGAAGAGGGAATGCATATCGGAGAAATAGACTTGGAGTAGACAAGGCCCGCTCCAGAAGATGTTCTCCCCTATTGATAGCATTAAAATTAGATGCTCAAGATGGATGATAGTAACAACAAAAGTAAGTGGTTAAGTCCTCCATTGTTTCATCATTTACGGAGGAGTTCATAAGGTAAGCGAACGTGAAACTGTAACCAGATTTTTGTGTTAGTCATGTATCCTCTTTCCAATTTTGTGAGATTTTTTTACTGCATTTCATCTCAGCAAATGATGTGAATAATATGAGCCGTTTGATGATATTTCTTTGTATACATTTTCATTTAACTACTGTTAAGCTTTGAATATTATTAACAGACAGTTATGGTTATTTCAACAGTTTACTATATATTATCTATACTAATATAAAAATACTAATATAATCTGCTGGCTTGCCCCAGTCTCTCTCGCGGCAATGGTCTGCGTGTGCTACAATCTGCATCCCTCCACACCTGAGTAATCACCTCCGTGTCCATGTTGACCGACGCGGCTGCCGCTGTCTCCTCCAAAGCAGCAGTGGTCCAAGCCGAATTGGCCATCCCCACCGCCAAACACCATCGCTGGCGCCGGCAGCCTCAATCCGCGTCGAGTTTTCGTCTCCACCAGCACAGTGGTCTCTACACATGAGGTTGGTCTCAGGCTTCAACTTTGAACTCTTATTTTCCATCTTTTAATCGAACTCGATGCGAGCACGGGCTTAATGCATTCAGGCCACAGTCTGGTTGCTCTTGATGTGCATGTCAGGTACTTGGAGGTTTTTTATTTCCCTCATGACGAGGACTTGTTTTCTCTTATCTTTCAGGCCTCAAGTGACAAATCAGAGCAGCAATCATGCTTTCTTGTGGCTTTTATCTCCACCGATCTCACGGCAATCTATCGACATGTACATTTGTATTTTGTAGTTGGATAAAAAAAAGTAGCAATAGTTGCCATCTTTTTCTCTAGGAAAAACTGATTTGTTTATATGCTTTTTCAGTTTATGTTAGAGGAAATGGTTAGTTGAGCTTGTCTCCTGTACTGAATGTGCTTGGGGTTAACTGAGCTTTCAGTCCGTAAGCATGGTAACAGACTCTTCATTGAGTTAAGTAGTCCAATAATTATTTTTTATAAAGCATTTCAGTCAGAGTAGAAACATTTATGGTTTTTCTCTACTGCCTGCATCTGGTATTTTTTGGTAATTAGCTGGCATCACGTACTTATATATATAGTCATATGGGCATCAAGCATGTTTGTGGGCTAATATAAGCTGCTCTAGGCAGAGTAGAAACATTTATATTTTACATTCCTAAGGTGACTGCAATTATCTATTTTCGTGACAGCAATAAATGGTATGTCATTTGTTAGGAAGACAAATACGTACTGATTAATTCAGAATTAATCATCAGTTGGGAAGGATAAATATTAGCTACACATATAGATTCAGAGCTAACATCAATGACCATGTTATGTTTCTCAGTCATTCACTATCTCAATAGATGAATAGACGCAAGTAAAATAACTTTTAACCAATTTTAGGTCATCTATATAGCTATTTGCCATTGTACAGAAGATGCGCAGTTGAATCAAATATACAATTTATAGATCGATGTTGCATATCATATTTTCTGGTATTTGTGCAAATGGCCATATTTAGATCATATTCGATGTGTGTTGAACTGTAGATGTTGGTCCTGATAAAAGATACCATTTTTCTTTAGTTTAATCTATACTGGTAAGCCTTCCAAAGTTTAGTATAGTACACTGCTATTAATCTTCTGGTAATGGGTAAATTACCTTTGACCAGTACATGGTCGAGATTGAATATTTCCTGGTTGTTCCTTATGCTGAAATTGAATGAGCAATACCTGAATATTACCTTTTTATGTGTATTGTTTTGCTGAAACTGAACGTGAATCAATTATTGCGATTTTTTGACAGTATGTCAATCCCATTTTAGGAAGTTTAGGAACAATATGATCCAAACTGAAATTCAATTCACCTCAGTTGCACTATATGATGAGTTTTCTGTACACATCCAAATAGAAAACAATATGCATATGTTTTGTTCCAAAATACATCTCCCAAATTACTTTCCGAACATGTCATTACATGTAATTCCAGCATATATGTTAAAAGAAAGGAGCATTTTATTAATTGCTGCGTATTATGTAGGTGACTCGGAAATATGATCTTTTTAAACAAAAAAATGTGCTCTAGCTTTTATTGATATTACGCAATGAATTAGGTTTTCAAAAGGAGTATATGATTGCACTTGTAGTATGTTAGCCTTAATTTTTTTAGTTAAAGACGTGCAATGCACGATTATAATACGTTTACTAGTCTACCCTATTGTTCAACAAATAGTTTTTACTCATTCATCATGTGACATATCCAATGATCGGAAATCATCTGACGACGTTGATCCAACGGCTCTCCACCTCCCTCCCGATCCGATCCAGATCGGATCGCCTCCCCTCCCTCCGGCAAAATCACCGCGCCCTCCCTCCTCTTTCTATCGCTCCTGGCCATCCGCCTCGCCTTTCGCCGCCCCTCCTCCCATCACATTGGTCTGCACCGCCGCATCCGCACCGCCTAGCCCCGCCGCCACCGAGGACGCGGAAACCGCACCTCCCTCCCACGCCTCCCCCTCCAGACCCGAAGCGGTGGCAGCTCGCGGCGTCAACCATCGTGCTTGACGACACCCCCACCCCTCCGAAGCGGCGGCCACCGTCGGTAGCTGCCGACCGGTCCACCTCCGTGGTGGCCGATACGCCCCGGTAGCCGTTCTGTGACAGCTTGGTATAATGAAGAATTAGAAAGGATTCAGTTCTCTCCTTTCTGTTCTATTCTTTCAGCAATGGTTCAGGTTAACAAAAATATTTCGCTCGAGTTAAACAAGAAAGGTCAGTTTTTATCCTTCCAGTTCTCCTTTTGTCTTGAATGTTCTTGAAGAAGCTATGAGTGGAACAGTTACAGCGAGACCGCTCCCTGTTGGATCATCAGCAAGAGGAAAGGTTCTGCCACTACCAGTTTTATTATCTTGTTTATAATGGGATGGCTACCACATATATTTTTCTATTTATAGGTTGACAAGCAATGTGCTCTTTTTTATGGTGTAACTATAAGCGAAGAACAAGCTCGGTCAGGCATTGTAATCAGAGTAACCTCAGCCGCACAAAGTAAATTTAAGGTATGAGGTTAATTCTTCCTTCGGTTGCTCTGGAATTGAAGCTTTTATCTTCTGCATCTCTTTTGAATTTTGGGATATTATTTATAATTCTCTCATTCGCTAAATATTTCTCTACAGCTACTTTTCTTCGAACAAGAAATTGATGGAGGTTATTGACTAGGTCTGCATGGAGGTTATTGACTAGGTCTGCAGGTACTTTTGAGTTTCATGGTTGATGTGTTCTGTAGCTTTGTAATCATTTGCCATGGATTACCACATGCCAATCTTTAATGTTTTTTTATGAATGAATAGTGGAAGCACTGAAGGAATCTCAAAAGGAAATTGAATTTGTCATCACCATCACAAATCTAATTTTCAATAGAAACTCAAAGATGTAGATGTGCTAAAACAAATGCGACCATTAGCTTGTCACCTCCAAACCAACTAATCCTGACCTCCTGTCATCAACTGACAAGTGACAACCCTCCTCCCTGTAACAATCATGAAAAGAGTTGTGCCTGTGCAAAGTTTGAGTTCCAGCTGAACTTGGCAAACTTGAGCTTTTTGAACTGTAAGAAATTTTATCGTGTCTAAATACTGCAATTGCAGAGCCATGACGAAGGATTCACATGTGCTTTTTAAGTATATATATTCTTGTGCTTTCTAAATTATGAAATGGAATATATTGTTCTTTTGTGAAATTTGATTTATCCCATAAAAATGTCTGTCCTCACATACGGATTGGTTATTTACTATTGGGAAAGAAGTGTTTGGTGCTTTGCATCCAACAGCCATATGAGGCTCAGTCACATGGTATGAAGTCATCAGATACCTCTTCTCTTCGTAATATTGATCTTTCAAAATATCATTTCAGGATCACGTCAATTTTTTCACCATTGATCTTGGCTTAGTATGAACTGGACAGACCCGCACGCTCTTCCATTGATCAGGAATGTACATAAGTGCATAATATATAGTATTTAACAGACATTGTGGCTAATGGATGATGATATAAATACCATTATATGCATTTTAACAAAAAACCATTCTTTGAAAGCTTTTTAATGGAAGTTCTAAAAGGTTTTAATTCATGTTTATTGTTTATTGATGGAGAGAACAATTTCTATCCTCTTAAGTAGATGGCTCAGGACTTGGTTTCCAATGTCACTTGAAAATGATACTGCAAGCTAATCAAATCAAGTTTTGTTATATTGCAGGAAGCTAGCATTATCCAGGCTAATCAAATCAAGTTTTGTCATCAAGCAATTTTGTTATCGATGGTTGGAATGTATTACGCCAATGTGTTAGAGACAACTAATTTTTGGTTTGCTGCCTGAAATGCTAACATATTGTTCGATGCATTCATGATAGTCTGGGGACAAAAGGAAAAGTTTATTAGAGCTTTAGGGGTCAAAATAGGACATGTGATACTTGGTTGTTCATAAACAGCTAACCCAGCATTAATCCACTGATGGTCTGCTTGCTGAATTTATTTCTGAAGTAATTAGCAATCTTTGTTTAATCCTGAATGATTTGTATTCCCTTGTTTTTCATGGTATCACAATAGATTGGAACAGGCTAATCTTCTGCTCAAGAAAACACCATTGTTGGAGATGATGACAATTGTCCTCCACTGCTCCTGACCATTCAAACAGGCATGTATTTTCATTTGCCGATGGGTACATATTATTGTGTTATGCATTTTAGCTACTTGATTAAAATATCCAGTGATTTTACAGGAATGTGCTTTTGAATTACCCTATCTTTAATATAATTAATTTAAGCGGTACGCTAACTGATTTACACGATCACATGAATGGCAGACTGTCAGAGTTCATCGCTTCAATGTTGTTTGGTGATGTGAGAGCTGAGATTATTGTTTCCTTACTAGCATATAAATTTATTCCTGTACAAGAATAGCTGGTATTTCAAACATATGGTTATTTTTGCATTTTGCTTGTCATTCCCTCTTTTCTATCTCCCATTTTCCATAAATGCATGACCCAACGTTCCAAAGTACAGTTGCTAACAGAGCATCATTGCTTGCTTCCAGAACCAATCTAGCGGACGGATCTTACCAACCCAATGCAGACTAATGTTGCCCTCGATTTCTTTAAATATCTTTGAAATTGATGTTTTTTCTGGACTATTGCCATTGCAGAGGAATTCAAATGCAGCACCACTGATCTGTACTCATTTCTCTTGACATAGTTTTTCGCCATTAAGAGGAGCTGCTTCAAGAGAGATGACCTCTGCTTTTGAGTTATACGGTGCTTCCAATTAATAGTGATTACCAAGCAACAAATTTGTGGGGAAAAAAGAAATATAAAACAACTGCATTTCTCTGTTACTTATGGTCATATTTATCTGTTTAAAAAGCAAATAGCATTATTGATCATCACTGATCTGGTATATCAATTTGTGGTGTACCATAAGCTAGCATGATTTGCTTCAAAAGTTTAGCAAAACAAGTTAAGCTTGGAAGCCACTCATTAACAAAAGAAGCTGGTTGTTTCTATTTAGCAGGCTGACAGGAACATGCTCCATTTCATGGTTTTGCTAAATGAAGTGCAGTTGTCAAGAGAAATCAGTGCAGAATGGCAAGGTAGGATGCGATTATTCGATCAGTGCAGAGCCAATGGAAGCAAGGCTGGGGCATAATCTCTTCTAACTGTTTTTCCATTCTTTCCCCTTTCGATTGTAAACTCATGGTTGACACATATATGTACAGTTCAGATTTATAAGTTGCAGCTATGCCTTTAATGGATGAAAGTGGGCATATATGTAATTTTGAGATGGTTTTAAAGTGAGTGATTTATTTTCTTGTGCTTGGTACAAACTAACAATATGCATGTAAGAAAGGTTTAGGATAGGGTAGATTTACTCCAAAGCTGCTTGCAGCAGATAAGTTTACACTACAATATTTAGCCGACAGGTTCATGGGCAAGTGTTTGTGAGTTTTTTGGTCCAATTTTTCTAAAATAATAGGCCAAGTCTTTTATTCTTAGATGAAAAACAGGCTTTCCCTATTGTCTTCTGAGGTTTAGCTTAAAAAAGCCCACGAGTTCATGAAAAGGTAGTTGTCAGAACTGAGAGGTATATAGCCTTCCTTGGCTTGCTAGCCTTCAACCTATCGTTAGGCAGTAAAATGGAACGATGGCCAGTTCTATATATTATGGCTCTGCTGTGCTTATACCATTTGTTATTGGAGCATTTCATCCCTAGGTCTATAGCAGCGCTCCTCTTCATATCCTCATTCCCATGTGCTCATGAGGTATGTGCGTCGATTTGCATCCAAATAATATCAATGATGGACGTTTGGTAACTAAATGTTAATTCTTAATTACCACAACTAAAATATATGCCGTTTAATTGCAATCAGGTTGTCCAATAAACTTGAAGAAGATATAGGTAAATGGAAGCCTGATGATATCATGCAGGTAAATAAAGGCCTGATAAGATCAAATCAAGTAGGAATTTGTATTTTTTTTACCAAAGATTAAATCAAGTGGGAATCTCGTTTTTTTTCCCTTAAAGTGCTTATATGCTAATAGGGTAGATTTAAGAGGACGTCACGGGCCCAATCAGGCATGCGAAAAATCACGCGTGAGGGTGTTGCGGGCCCAATCGCAGAGGAGCACAGAGGCGTATGTGGAAAATGAACTCAGGCGCAGGTCTGCAAGCGGCAAGGGGCACGTAAAAAGGTGCATGCCTAATTACTTCGTACGCGTATGATTTAATAGAAACATAAAATTAAAACCTATTCCAATACAGATGATGTACCAAAATTCTAACGAAAACATCTTCAATTTTTATAATAGTAGAGAAGGGATTTGCATCATCAAATATCGCCGTAGCGTTAGCACGGGCATTTTACTATTTATAAAAAATGTGACACACGATTATAGCCCCCGTGATTCAATAGCGGCAGCAAAGATCCCTGCAACGCTCAGGCAGCAAAAGCATACACTAAGTCACCGACGCATGGGCCCGTGCGAGAGGGCGCTGACGTGTGGGCCCCACATAAAATTCTTCCGTCTCGGCTTCCCCCTCTTTTTACTTCTCTCTCTCCTCCCCTAATATCCCGAGAGAGAGAAAGAGAGATCCCCCAACGCTTCGCGAATCGCAAATCCCTCTCGCTTCTCTCTCTCTCTCTCTCCTCGCGCCGCCGCCGCCACCGCCGGCGCCGCGGCCATGGGCGACTACGGCAGCGGGATGATGCGGGGGAACCCGGACGGCGGCGGGATGCAGTCCCGCACCAAGGGCCAGCGCGTCAACGTGCAGCAGCTCAAGCTGGTAAGCCCCCACCCCCCCCCTAAACCCTAGCTGCTATAACCCTAGCTCCTCTCCGGATCCGCCTCGATCTGAGATCTCTCTCCATGGCTCGCGACCACAGATGGGGCAGGGACACCCGACGGGCCTCACCCCCAACCTGCTCAAGCTCTTCGAGCCCCGCCCGCCGCTCGACTTCAAGCCGCCCGTCGAGAAGCGCAAGTTGCCGGCCTACACTGGTATATTCCCTCACCCGCCTCATCTTCTATTCTATCTGTTCGGTTCTAGGGGGATTATGAATATATTTTTTTCTTTTAATTTTGTCTGTTAGATTTATTTTGTGGATGAGTTGCTTCCTGATGGATGGACTCACTCTTGTTGTTGATTGGTTGGTTGCAGGGATGGCGCAGTTCGTGTCGCAGTTTGCGGAGCCCGGTGACCCTGAGTACGCGCCACCCGTCCCCACATGCGAGACCAAGGTATACTGATACTGCTGCAAATTTGTTTTCTGTATCAATTTTAACTCGTTTGAAGCGCAATCGTTAGTGTTGCATTTTGTTTTATGTCTCCGTAGTGCAAGATGTTCCTACTTCTTATGTTGTCGTGACCATGTCGTATTTATGCCAATGGTATACTTTTCGTGTGGCCATAACCATATTGCATAGTTTCCACAACCATATAGTTGCTTTTTTCAATCGACAAAATCAATTATTTGTAATGGTGTCAGAACGCTTGCTGGTCTCTGAACAATCAGGATTTCTTAAGACTGTTAGTATTAGTATGTGAGCTTCTATGACTACACCTGCTGGAAAGTCACTCACAATTTGACTGTTTGAGCATTGTTCCACTATAGTCAGCACAGGAAAATTAGGTCCAATAAGTTCTACCTGAAATTGCGAGGTAAGAGTTGGAGTCAAATGTTCCCACCTCTGAGATGAATATTTCCACTTTCACCACATGAAAACTCTCTCAAAATAAGACATGTGTAGCTGTCCAAACATTTGTTTGCCAAAATTCTTCTTCTGGTAATTGTATGTGACTATGTCAAATACGCAGCTTTTTGTTGGCACTACTGGCTTTACTCTTTTTTTTTCCATGTCTGTTATTGTTTCTAGATCTACTGTATTATTCGTGCCTATTGTCATTTCATCATTCCAGGTCATGACTTGGTGATTATGTTTTATTTACGCAGGCTGAAAAGAAGGATAGGATCCGCAAAAGTAAGCTTGACCAAGGTGCGGCTAAGGTGGCTGAAGAGCTTCAGAAATGTAAGTTCTTTCTTAGCTGCTCTTCCCTTTGTATCATATGATAGATACTGATAACATCATTGGTGTGGTTTCTTAATGTAGATGACCCACAGAGTGACCCCAATGCCACTGGAGATCCATACAAAACACTCTTTGTTGCAAGACTTGTAAGTTTTTTTGTTGCATCATTCACAAATTATTTTGAACTACATAGTTGGTATTATTTTTGTATGTTACTTCCTATTGACTCCAGCAAACGTTTACAGAACTATGAGACGTCTGAGCATAGGGTCAAGCGGGAGTTTGAAGCTTATGGGCCTATTAAAAGGGTAAGTACATGTGGTAAATTCCAGTGCAGGTGGACTTATTCCTCTTTGGTAAGGTGTTTGGTTGTTCTAATTCATCTACAAAAACATGTTTTAAGAAAAAGCTGGTTCACTGCCATTATATATTGCTTACTTGGAATTTCACAACAAGGTGCTAAAGGATGAAAGGGATATCTTCTATCTCTCTCCGATTTTCAATGGGCAGAATTGTCTGTAGTATTTGTTTCTAAATCAAACAAAATGCTGTGAAGTCTTCTTTTTTGTAAAGAACAAAAATAAGTTATTCTGTCAAGTCTTTTTTTTTGCAGCAAACAAAAATAACTTCTTGTTTTTGTCAAACAGTATTCATAGCACTCTCATTTTCAAGTTGGGCAATACATTCACTGTTTTGTGTGTAAGCATGCATTTGCTGTTTGCTTCTCAATAATGATGTTGGTTGCATTTTGCTAAACCAAGGAGAAAATAACCAAATAATCTTCTCAAATTATTTAAATAACACTTTTATCTTGTATTGACATGTATTGGTTTGGGTGGTTCGGACAGTCTTTTCTTTGTTATCCATTTCTAAACATGTGGGCTCTGTTGATGTACTTAGTGGATAAGTAATATAGAGCTCCAGCAGAAATTATGTCTTCTGGTAATTTTTGTTAGACATATTATCTGAGTTACTGTTGAGCAATTTAATGTGCGAATGGTTGGTACAACCATTAGAAGACTAAAAAATCCTGGGAAATACAAATACACACAAGCAGGTATTTTTACTGCATGCAGCCTTGATGTTTTTTTTTCTTAGAACATCTTTTCCCTTTTACTCTCGGAAAAGATCAAACCATTTGCTTCTGCAGTAGGCACAATGTATCATTTGTTTTCCCATTCTATGAACTTGCTTCTCGTGTGTATTAACTGGAGCAAACAAGCTTGAAGAATGTTGGCGATGGCACAAGTAAGCTTAGATCACTTTATGCTTTTAAAAGCAGCTTATCTGCAGGCATGGGGTTTCTACATTCTGGGATTTATTAGGTTGCTGGTGAGTACAGTGTTTATGTTACTTTCCCTGAGCTGTTAAAGCTAGTTCTGCTTTCAAGTGCTGCTTCTCTTGGAGGAAACAACAGCAAAATATAATGCAAATGACATCTCAACTTTTAGAGTTGAAGATGGCTCCATTTTCTGATGCGTAACAGCGTAAGGAATAGACATCACTGACTTGCTATTTGTCACCTCCATTTATGTAACCGTTGTCTATTTTGATGGTCTTACCGACGAAGGCTGAACGAACTATATGCAATGGAGAGGGTAAATGGGTATTGTATTTAGTCCACCACCATCTTCTTTTCTTAATCTAGTAAATTCCCTGGTAAGGGGGTATCACTGTATTTCCCACAAACGCCAATCAGCCAGACTGCTTTTTGCCTCCAACTGTGTTGATCTGTGCTGGATTTCACTCCTCGTAATGAAGGATCTACATATGCAAGGTTAGCACGGCTGTTTTAGGCTTTATGCCTGTCTGTCGTGCAGCATAGAATATATGCTAAAACAAACAAACAATTGTAATGACAACCGGCAACATTCTTAAGTTCAGTGCATATTTCTTTTTGGAAAGACCTTAATGGGTACATTTGAGCTTTTTGCAGGTACGGCTTGTGACCGACAAGGAAACAAATAAACCTAGAGGATATGCATTCATCGAGTATATGCACACCCGGGACATGAAAAGTAAAGCTTCTGGTTTAGCATATCTCCTCTATACAGTCCAATTTGGCGTCATCACTGATGAAGTGCTGTCTTACATTTTCTCTGCTAATATGTGTTCTCGCAGATGCTTACAAGCAAGCAGATGGGAGAAAAGTGGACAATAGGAGGGTGCTAGTTGATGTGGAGCGTGGTAGAACTGTTCCAAATTGGCGTCCCAGGAGATTGGGTGGTGGACTTGGATCAAGCAGAATTGGTGGTGAAAATGCTGAACAGAAGCTCTCCACTAGGTATATTTATTATTTTTCCATTTTATTGTATGAAGGAAGCAAATACTTTTGTATGATCTAAGGCAACAAGAAGTGATGTGAGCACTAAAAATTAACTGATCATAAATGCTTTATGCGCTCTTGGATATGTTCCTTTGATACCATTTTTCTCTTTTTGCCCCTTACTGTATGTTGAGCTTCATTACTAATATTATCAGAGGTGATTTTATACCTTTTCGGTATATTGAAGTTTGATATTGTTATGTAAGGACATTGACTCCAATAGGTGCATATTTTTTTAGTGCAGTGAAGATTTTGGGTGCTTATTTGGGTATAGCTATTGTTCCTCATATATTTAAGTATCCATGTAATTGATGCTGAACACATGCATGTTTTTTTTTATGTTCAGGGATCAGCAGCACGCTGGACGCCCAAGATCGGAGGAGCCTAGGAGAGATGAGCGTCGTGCAGATAGGTATATCTTATCAAATAAATGGAATTCCTGCATTAACATCTAATTGTGGTGCTTATTACTCATGATTTGATGCAGGGACCGCGAGAAGTCTCGTGAAAGGCCACGGGAAAGAGATCGTGATGAGAGAACTCGTGAACGATCCCATGACCGTACTCGCGAGCGTGATTCAAAAGAAGATAGACACCACCATAGGGATCGGGACAGGACTCGGGACAGGGAACGAGGAAGGGACCGGGAGAGAGATCATGGTCGTGACCGTGACCGTGAGCGTGATCGTCGTGATAGAGATAGGGACAGGGATCGTGGTCGGGATTATGAGAGAGACCGTGACCGTGGTCATGATCGCCATCGTGAGAGAGGCAGGGACCGTGAGAGAGATTACGAGCGTGCAAGTCATGAACGGGACCGTGGTCACATGCATGAGAGAGATGCTGAATTTGCCAACGGTGAGCCAAAACATGATCAGGAATATGGCTATAACTATGAGCAACACAAAAGCCATGATGCTTATGAGACGGAGCGCTCAAAGCGACATGAGCATGAGTACTATCAGATGCAACCTAACAACACAGAACCTGAAGGCCCTGAAGAGGGCGAGGCATATGATGAAGGTGACTACCAGTATCACCAAGCTGCTGATGAGCACAATAACTGAAATTTGATTGCTGCAGTAAGTTTTTGTTGGCATCACAGTTTTCTTTACTAGTACTGTAATTATTCCCCTAATAATGTTAATGATGATCTCTGTCAAATCCTTGCACCATTTCAGCTGCTTGAACGGTTGTTCTAGGTGCTCGTCATTGTTGCCAAAAGAGGCAGAAGCATGTTTACTTGTTGCCTGGCGCTTGAGCTCTGCCGCTTTGCAAGGCTGGATATGTAATACCGGTGTTACTGTCTGTTGTTCCTTTTGTGGTTTGGGAGTTAAGATGTTTTTGCACTTCCCTGCTTTTGTATTGTATGAGACGCTAGAACTTGTTTTGGATTCATCTTTTGCTTCAGTACTCTGTTCAGAAAGGTTTTGTAATTCGAGCACATGAACTACAGTTATTTCGTATGGAATTCCAATATTGAAGTATCTTTTGTTAACTAGTTTTAGGTTCCTCTTGACATGTCTGTTGCATTGGGATGCAACATAATGTAATCCCGCTTTACCATGGCTGAATGTGGAAGAATATCCGCCGTAGGAAATAGAGATTTCTGGATCATCAACATTTTGGCAATTCGTGTTGAGATATTGGTTTTAGAAAATAATTCAACCTTCTGATGTTGCCTGTAGATGATGATGATGCATGATTTATGGAACAAAACAAATGCGTCACTTGCTATTAAGATAGTTACTCCCTTCATCCTAAAATATAAGCATATTTAGATATGAATCTGGACACTGCCAAAAGTTGTTACATTTTGGGAGGTTTTTTTTTAAAGAAAAAGATAAGTGGCTTCAAGAATCCGTGGTATTTTCAAAATGATGCTAGATGGTACATGAAAAATAGGTATGTACTAATATTAGTTGATATGTGATTGAATATATGTTACATCATAGAAATTGAAATGTGAATGAATATATGTTACTCCCTCCTTCACTAAATATAGCAACCTAGGAGGGGTAACCTAGAAGATGTGACCCCTCCTAGGTTGATGTATGTAGGTTGTTATATTTTGGAACGGAGGGAGCGCATCATAGAAATCATATATGTATATATTTAAATAATGTGGAGATATTGATATGTGAATGAATATATGTTACATCATATAAATCATATATGTATATGTTTAAATAATGTGGAGATGATGATTTGACATCGCTTATATATTAAGATCTAAAAATACAACAAAATCATAAATGATATATCATGTTTGTATGAGATTTAAAATAATTAGATAATAATTGTCAGTGAGTGATGATGTGATATATTTATATGTGATTTAAAATATTGTAGATAATAATTGTTAGTGTGTGACGATGTGATATTTTTTACATGTTGAGCTTTAGAAAATAATAGGTACTAACTATATATAAAAAGTAAAGTACAGATATAACGCAACAAAATGGATACATCATGAATTCATTTGGTTGTAACTCTTTGAGCAAAGGCCGGGATTCTATTTCATTATTAAAAAAAAACATCATGAATTCATGATGACAGATAAATCAAAACTTATTTATCTACTCTAGAGTTCTAAAGAGCAATCGTGATCTACTCCTAATTAACGTTATCTACTTGTCTGTTTCATTATCTTCGGGTTCAGGGGCACTTGGATGTGCCTTTGTTTGTTCTTCATGATTCATGTTGTTGTAGCATGGGCTCTCCTCCTTGTTGACTGATGGAATGGAACACACAAGCTTTTCTTCGCAGCAGAGGTTGCAAAATATGAGCTGCAGGATGGGCTATAAATTTGTATTTGATAAAATAAACGGTCTGTAGTAAATGATTGTTTAAAGATATAGGAAAAATAAAGATAGATCGATGTAAGAGCATCTCTAGTGATCGATACATGGATTGACGTACTGATGCATACGAGGAGCTAGAGACAACGACTCTCAATTTTGAGTCACAAAGTCGGCCATCGTTCTCATCTCTCTAAATGGAGTTTTTATTTCAAAATGGGCCATACAAGTTTAAAACACACAGTTAAATGAGTTGGTGAGATATGTGGGATTTTTTCTATTTTTAAGTTGGGCCCATGCTATTGTTCTTTCAGGAATTAGAAGTCATCTTAGGTCTTCATCGATTGCTTATATTCCCTAATAAGCCAAAATAGCTTATTAGGAAATAAAAAATTAATTTATAGATAAAACTTTTATATATGTGTTTTAACGACTTAAAAGTCAATGCAGAAAAAAAACACGTTAAAAATATTTTTAAATCAACTTCAAAATTAAGTTTAAAATTTAAAATTTTGACTTTTGTTTTGGTTTATTAGAGCAACCAATGTGGCTGCATGAATCGGTTCATCACTGGAGATGCTCTAACGTGCCATCCCCTATTCCCCTGTATCATTTCTTTTCTCTTCTATCCCCAGTTCACAGACACTTCACATTCAAAATGGCATGGAAAATCCATGTCAACCAATATATTGCCTTATAATGCCAAAATATGGATAACTTTTATTAAGTTGAACTACTCTTCTCCAACAATACAAATGACAACACAAGTAGTATATATGAATCTAAGCTTCAGGAAGCATTGTATTTCAGATGGTACATTCCAAGCTTTCATGGATGGATCGATTGTTCATAGTTGATTTCAGGGGCACTTTGGTTTGCCTTCCTGGGTTTTCATGTTGTTGTAGCAAGGGCATTCTTCCTTGTTCCCGTATGTACCGGATGGAACACACAGGCACCTCTCGCAGCAGTAGTTGCAGTATGTCATGCACACCGTCGTGTGAGATGTGGCCGAGCAACGGTAGCTGCATTTCCCTGGGCACTCTACACATAGCACAAAGAGAAACACAATGTAAATCTAATTAGGGGTAGTTACTTCTTGACATTTTGTTAAAAAAGAAAGATTTCTTGAACACACAAGAAAATTACACGTGTTAAGGCATTTCAAAACGACAGAAACATTTTTTAGCTAACATATTTCAAAGTCTTGTACATATTTTATTTTCTAATTTTCCAAATGAGATTATAATATTTGTACATCCAAGACCAAAAGAAAGATGGTGTCCTTTTGTTTTACTGTGCTAGATTAAATTATTAATCGGAGCCCGAACAACCATCTAAATAAGTACTCATTAGCTACATGTATACATTGGTTTCTTAGTTTTTTTTACATTTGAGATAATTTTTTTTTTTGGTCTTGGTTACAAAAGAAACGCATAAGACTTTTGGATGCAAGGAGGAAGTATTCACTTGACTCGTGTTAGATTTATAATTCGAGCCTATACATATGCTACTCATAGATATTATAGGTGATTTGACCATGTTTCATCGTGCGCCCCTACTTTTAACTAATTGTTGTGTTTTTAATAAGAAAAGACCAGATTTAGTTTGGAGGGTAGCGGATATAATCATTACCATTTTTGGTGAGCGAGCCTTCACCACCAAACTGCAACACAAAGTTCATAATCAATCAAGTGGAAAGGAGGAGAAAAATTGAATGCAAACAAATGAAGGATTCTGTTTGTACCGCTATTTCCTAGTGTTCGAACAAAAGAATAATACTAGTGTGATATGAAATTTACCAAATGGTATACTGCTTCATTCTTCTGCCCAGACACCTCAACCTGAAGAACAAAACGAGGGCATCCTTTGTGATGAAAATAAACAGAAACCATATTGTTTTGGAACACCAAATAAACAAACTAAACAATATTGTCTGAAGTTTAATGGTTTGGTAACAGCGGTTGTTAGAAGACAAATAAAATAAATTATTTTGTAAAGGAAAAAAATACATTACCACAAATGTCACTGCGACTAAGAAGAAAATAATGGAGAGGGAGCGTGATGCTGGATCCATTACTCCTTCTCGCACAACAGCAGATTATTCTTGGAGATAACTTTGTTGGTGGCCGACGAATATATATAGTATATTACAATTAATTTTGCATTTATAGACGAAATAGATGTGAGATATCTTTGGATCATATCGAAACGCCCACGCATTAATTAGATAGATTGTGAACGGAATTATCTGGGAGATTTTATCATAATTGTACATTGATTGTAACTTAATATACAAATCTGGCTGGAGTAAAATCAACGATTGCCAGACATGTTGATATTTTTACGAAGGCAAATTTTGCTACGGAACACTTCGACTTCGTGGTTTTAGCTGTACAACACCACCCGAACTCAATTTTGGAGGAAAACACTCCATAAACGTGGTAATTTACCGATGGACATCGCGCCGATTAGAATGATAATTTCCGGTTTAAGAGGAGAGAAAAATCGTGTGAAATGTCAAAAATGCCTTTAGGCCCACACGTCAACTCTCCTATCTCTCTTCTCTTCTCTCTCTATCTTCATTCCATAACGCCGCTATGCTGCCCGTCGTCTTCATCATTGTCCAGCCCTCTCTCGGCGGGAGTGGAGGGGGCAGGGAGGTGGAAGGCGGTGGCAGGTGTGTCGACGGAGGAGGCTGCGACGAGGAAGCGCTGGGCAAGCGGTGGCGAAGCCGGGGTGGTTATGGTGGCGAAGCGGCACGGGGTTCGAGCTCATCGCGGCGGAGGAGATGGTGAGGACGGCGGGAGCGGCCGCCGCGGGAGTGGCCGCCGCGGGAGCGGCGGAGGACGGAGAGGACGTAGCAGCCGGAGCCCTCGCGTGCGACGGCGGCGGCGAAGTCAGTCCCCTCCTCGAGGGGGACGCAGCGCACACGGCAGGGGCCCACCCGATTGGAACAAAAGTGAGTTCGGATGGTGTCCCACGGCTAAAACCACGAAGTCAAAGTGTCCTGTAGCAAAATTTGCCTTTTACAAACGTAAGCGCTCACACTCAAGACTCAACCCAATGAACACGTATCCCTATGAGCGTACCCCAAATACTGGATTTTTTGAATAGACGAAGTCATCACAAGTGTCTCGCTGTTAAGTGTCAATGGGTACGTCACCTAGCTGTAAATACAAGCACCATTGAAGTCTATAACTTAAACCCGGATGGACAAGTTTCACCAAAAAGAACCTAACCAATTGAGCTACTATCACTTCGCACCCATGTCGAAAAATTGACCCTAGCTACTCCATTCATCTATAAAAGACTAAAATACTGATTTTTAGCTTAAGAATTTGTCACGCGAATACTGTATTGTAGGGTGGGGTTCACTGGACGTTGGAAAAAGTACGAATTACCCCCACTGAACTATCATGGTCGAATGAATTACTCCATTGAACCCGAAAACCAGACATTGCTCACTTTAAACTTCCAATCCCAGACGAATTACCCCCTCGATCTAATCCAGAGCGGTTTTGTCCTACGTGGCGTACGCGTGGCAATCCAGTCATAATTTTATTTTTTAAAATGGTGGGACCTACATGTCATACCCATCTTCCTCTATTTCTCTCTCTTGGTCGGTCAGTGGGCCGCGGCGCACATGGCGGCACGCATGGCATAGCGCGAGGACGGGCGATGGGCAGCGGCGCACATGGCGGTGGTCGACATGCACGGCGGCTCGTGGGGAGGAGGGGATGGGGAAGGGGGAGTGGAGGTGGAAGGGGAAGGGAGGAAATGGAGGTGGAAGGGGAGGTCGGTGCACACGGCGGCGGCCGGAGGTGGGGGCCACCTCGTCTACCCCTCCTCCGATCTCCCTTCCATTCTCCTTCATTCCCGCCTCCATCTCCTCCCATCCCCCTTCCCCCCCTTTGTCGTTGTTGCATGGATGACACTTGCTGTTGTGGCGTTGGTGGCCGCTGCGGGCGAGGAGGTAGCCACATGAACGGGACCATGCTGGTGCTCGGTCGGCCTCCGCCTCCGCCACCGGCCGCCCGGGCGAGCTCTTCCTCGGCCGCTCAGCGAGCTCCGCCTCTGCCTCCACCGCCGTCTGCGCGCGCGTGCGAGAGAGAGGTATGACGGGTGGGTCTAGGGAGGTTTTTCTTTTTGCCGACTGGAATGACACGTTGGCGCCACGTGTGCAACCTCAAATCAAAACCGCTCAAAACAGTGTTGACGAGGGTAATTCGTCCGACATTAAAAGTTTAGGGTAAGCAATGTCTGATATTTAGGTTCAGGGGGTAATTCGGTTGACCGCGATAGTTCAGGGGTAATTTGTAATTTTTCCTTTTTATTAATACTACTTTATCGTTTTTTTTCTCGTTTTAGGCATCAACATGGTAGTGCGTACATAAGTGGGCCAGACAGGCGTAAGCTAGGCCGTGCTCATGCTTAGGCCCATGTGGTGGCTTGGCTAAGCTGGGTTGGGCCCGACCCACCTATACATCCCTCCTAGCTTTTATTATATATCAAGAAAAAGTAAATAAAAGGAGGAAAAAATCGTTGCGGATATTTCCCCGTCTCATCGTCCCCTATGCGAGGCTTCCTCCCACTTCTCCTCCGCCCCCCGCCCGATCTACATCCATTCCTCCCTCCGCCAATCGCACATCACCGGCGGGCGGCGGCTTTGCTCCTCCCCGCCGCAACTCGGTGAGCACGCATTCTCACTTTCTCTCTTTTTTTTCTTAATTTCTTTTCCCTTCTCGAATGAACCCTAGGTAAGCTTCTTCTCTTCTAGATCTGGATCATCCGGATCTGGAACCTTAATTTTCCTCAACCCTTGATACTAATAACATCTTTTTGTTTGTTTGATTCTTTGTTCCAAAAAATAAAAAAGTTTTGGGGGGATGTTCGGCGTTAGATCCGCACTTGTGCATTGCGGCCCTTGTTCGAATTCGGCTGGTGATTTGTAGGATTCGGCGGCGGCGAGATGAACGACGACGCCAGCATGAGCAGCATGGGCCTGAGGGGTTGGGGGGCCTTCTATGAGCCGCCGGCGAGGAACCTCGGCCTGCAGCTCATGTCGTCGGTGCCCGCCGACCGTGACACCAAGCATCTGCTCTCTGCTACCCCCTTCCTGCATCATCACCAGCATCAGCAGTATGTCCCGCACCACCACCATCAGCCCCATCACCCGCGTGACTGCGGCACCAATGCCAATGCCAATGGCAATGGCAATGGTGGTGCTATGCCTCCTCCTCCTGCTGCCACGGAGGCTCCCCCTTCAAATGCCGATGAACTTCGTGCACAATGACATGTGGATGCACATGCAACAACAACATCATCATCATCCCCGCGAGCCCTAGGTTCTTCACACTCTGTCCGTTGGCCATGGTGGACACATTGCGCATCATGACCACCCAGTTGGCTATGGGATGATGCCTGCTACGCATACTCTGCGGATGTTGCAGCACCAACCAGAGCCTCAACCGCAACTGCAACACCCACCATCACCTCCACACCCAAAAGAGGAATGCATTTCCCCGCCATTGATGGAGGAAAATGTGCCAGTTAAGCCACCACCTCCCAAGAAGAGGCAGCAGGGCAGGCAACCCAAGGTACTAAGGCCTAAGAAGCCCAAGAAGCCTGCTGCTCCATGTGAGGATGGTGCACCACCCAGTGCGCCAGCACCGCGGAGAAGGGGTCCCAGGAAGAATATAGGGATGGTGATTAATGGTATTGATTTGGACCTCTCAAGGATACCGACGCGCATTTGTTCCTGCACGGGCGCACCGCAACAGCGCTATCGGTGGGGTGCTGGTGGTTGGCAATCTGCGTGTTGCACAACCACCGTCTCAACATACCCACTGCCAATGAGTATGAAGCCCCGTGGTGCACGAATCGCAGGTAGGAAGATGAGCCATGGTGCGTTCAAGAAAGTCCTTGAGAAGCTTGCTAGCGAAGGCTACAATCTTAATAATCCGATTGACCTGAAGACCTTCTGGGCGAAGCATGGAACAAACAAGTTTGTTACCATAAGATAAGGTAAGAGACTAAAATAAATTCTAAATTTGTTGGCTTTGTAGGTTCCTCTGCTGCTGTTTGGTCTCAGTAATTGTCTGTATGTACTCTAGATGACAAACTGCAGAATCATTTTAGGTGTAGGTTTTAGCCATGTCCTGTCCCTTTTGCAGTAGTTTACATGCCTCATCTGTGACCTGGGTGCTGACCTGTATGGTGGCTATCTGCATGTATCTTTATCATTGTCTTCACAAGTAGCAATGTAATGCGACAGTCTCTAATTTAGGTGGCAAAGTTAATCATTTGAGTGTTTCTCATTGTGCTTAAATCATATGTTATACAATGTTTCACTGCAATGTTTGGATGTTTTACAGAGCACAATATAGTTGGTATCTAATGAAGTAGAGATGTTATATGTTTCATGTTGTGTTCTGTACGCATGTGAAATTTATATAGCCTATATGTACAATTTGTCCATTCTTTTATTGTACTGATCTTTGCATGCATGATGCATGTGGGCATAAATTCAGTACACAATCTGTATTGCTTAACCAAGTGTCGTTAATGTTGTGAATGGTAGCAAGTTTTTTCCAATTTCATTTAATGTGCTCAAATCTCCCAGTCTCTTTTCCAAAGTCCCTTGGAATCAAGAATTTTTAGAATGAATGCTGGGGACTTTCTTCTGCCACTAGTCTAATGTAACATGCCTTTGGTGCCCCCTTATACATAGATGGAACTTCTCTGTCTTAATGAATAATACGCAGATCTCTTGCGTGTTCTAAAAAATACATTGATGGAACTCTGACCATTGAAGACAAATCCTTGATGTTCATTGATGAATCCTTTTGTATAGTACTCCATGTGTTATTTTCTGCACTTCTTTTGTAAGCATTCCTTGTCAAGTAATCGAAGTCCTACTTCAATCAGTAAACAACAGTCAAAATATTTCAATTATATACTAGTGATTTTTGATTTGTTATTTTTTTTTGGGGATAAGGAAATTTACCTGTCTACAGTTTTATCATATTGTGCTTCCTCATTATGCTGCAAGATTTTAAGCTGTCTGCATAAATCTTGTAATCCTGAACTGTTGCAAAAGAAAAAAAAACTGAAATGTCACATGTTATGCATTCAAATTGTTGATCCTATCTACTAGGGGGATTTAACTCCAGTCCATAGCTTTGTAGTTGTCAAGGCTAATTACATTAGTATGCATATTTATTTATTTTTAGTTTCTAGATTACAGGGAAAGTGGTGCCATTTGAATAAACGATGTTACTCCTATTCAACAATTTTCTTTTCTGAACTATAATAAGTACTGTAATTTTAGAGTGGGTTTCACTAGTTCTCTTTAGCCATCGAATCAGTAATACTCCCTCCTCGTTTTCTATCCACATTAATGAATTAGTCTTTTAACCTCGTGTTTAATCTGACGTTGACTATATAATTTTCCACATCATATCTAAATAAAATATTAGACAAACCCATACAACGGATTGTCTAGTTAGCCATTTCAAATAGATTACATCAATTAATGCTTTGATCCTAGAGATGACTTCTATCTGTATAGTAGATGGTATTAAGCTGTATATCGGAAAACATTGAGCAGCGCGGTAGGGGCGGCCGCTGGGTGATGCCACGTCGGAGTGCTACAGTGCGCGCACGGTAGAATTTTGCCAAAAAGTCCTCCGATTTGTGCGTAATTCGATCTAGCTCCTTCCCAAACAGTACCTCTGAGGTGTTATTTTACGTGGATTCCCTTAGGAAATATGGATATTGCATGTGAAGAAGAGAAAAATCACGGATTAGGGCTACGCTCTAAAATGCGGAAGCCGAGTGGCTTTTTCGCAAAAGGACACCCACTAACCCTAACCACCCCCAAACCCTAGCCGCCATGGCCTGCTCCCACTCCCACTCCCTCTCCCCCACTGCTGCCTCTGCCTCCCCTCACGCTGTCCCCGTCACCAGCGCCGCCGCCTCCACCTCCCCCTCGCGCCGCCGTCGCGTCACCGCCGAGTGCCCCCTCTGCCTCCCAATCATGCTACCACCTCCGCCTCCCGCCATCCCCATCGCCGAACGCCTCTGCCTCGCTCCGCCGCTTCCGCCGTCGCCGAGCACTGCCGCAGCACCGTCCTCCACTGCCGCTGCCATCGCCGAGCGCTGCCACTGCGTCCTTCGGCGCCATCGCTGACGGCTGCTGCTCCGCCCTCCGTTGCCGCTGCCATCGAAGAAACGGCAGTGGTGACAGAACCGACATCAAGGAAGGCGGTGGCTGCAGCGAGAAGAGGAGAGCCGTACGTTGCCAGGCTCTCGAGCTTGCCCCTCATCACCGATCTGTCCTTCGCTCAACCTCGCTGTCGTTGCAGGCTCCAAACCTAGATGGCGGTACAAATCCAGTGGAGCTTTTGGCCGCTTGCTGCGCGTCACCTCTTAGGTCGGTCCCTCTTTCCCTCAGGTTGTTGTCTTCGTTTATACCCATCTATTTTTTGCTGTCCATCGCCTCTGCAGGGAAGAAGAACATGAGGTGAGAGTGAGGGCGTTCCAAATGGAGGAGTGCGGTGTCCCCTAGTGATAGCCTGTACCCACGGATCCGCCATCCCCACACGTCGACTCATCCACGGTATATCTTGATTCACATGTATATTGTCTGCTTTTTGTGGAGTGAAACTGAAATTTGATAGCCCTGTATCTGTCCCTTCTTGGAATGACTTCAGTGATTGCTGTGTTGTGGCTCTATTGGCAATGGTTAGAAGACAGTGCTGGCTGTGACAACAAAAGGTGAAACTAAAGAGATTGAAAAGATAAAACGGTGTCAGTGCTCTGCTCTATTCCTTCCTTTTTTTTTTCTTTCTTTTTTTTGGCTAAAATTGGTTGGTTGGTTTTCTCCTTGGCAGGTTTTTTTTCGAAGGAGACCATCATGGAGGAAAGAAGAGAGGGTGGAGTTGCAAACATGAACCATATATATACCTTTTGTCATGCTTGATTAATTTGCTCCCAGATGAAAGTAACTCATTGCTGCACAACTCCTTGAATTGAGGGTTCCGATTCTAGAACACAACATCCTCTGCAGATTTTTTACTGGAAGGTGTTCCTTTTGTGCTTCTTAAACTGAAGGTGAGTTCACTGTGTGATTTACTGGAAGGGTTTCGATTTTGTTTAATGTTCACTGTGTGAGGAAAGTATCTTCAAGTACTCCTAGCTCTCGATACATCAAAATCTTACTTATTGTTGTAACTGAGATTATTTTCTTACTTTGGTTGTTTCTTGGTTTCAATTATATGTACAAACAGTACCTTGGTGAATATGCACTTGAATGACTTCAACCCTTCCTTTAGCCCACTGTAGAGATTTGTGTTTTATACTCTCTTTGAAAGACTATTCTTGTGGCCCTTGATATTTTTTGGGAACTTAATTTTTCCTCCAGTTTATTGGCGTGGTCTAGGTATCCTATAGTTGCATCATTTTGCTATGGACTTTACTGTTTAAGGGGCACACTTGTCAGAATTAGCCTTTCGATCTTTCATGTTATCTCCGAGTTAATTTAAGATCAGAACAATAAAATCGATAAAATAATGGGAGCTGACTAGATTTTATGATTGGGTGATACGGAAAGTTGATTGTATTTTGTGGACAATTTGGTTTGTATGGATGGATGGTCGTGCCTTTTCTTTCTGTGCCTTTGCCCTCTTGCGAGATGCCAGAGTGATGAATAAATAAAAACTGAACTGTTGATTTTGTTAGGTATGTTTATATCATTTTTGGTATTTTTACATGATTGTGTGCCAATGTTTGGAATAGGACAATGCTTTGTTTTCTCAAGACTAACGAGCTGTTTTCTCAGATTGATTGCAACAGAGCATGCTGCAACGGCTACCATATACAGTACTCCATGGTTGGTGCCATAAAAGGGCAAAAAAAAAAGCCATATCAGTAGATGACTCGTACTATAAATGAGTTGATCTAGCTAGACTGCATGCACAATCGAAGAGCCAGATACATGGACCAAGATTTTTTAATTATATCTAGATGGGTTGATTAATCATATGCTCGTCCGATCTATTTAACTAGATACGTGCTGAAATTATGGTTATAAAAGAAACTGCGCAGTGCAGTTTATGATAGTACTTATCTTCCATAGCTATTTAAAATGAGTAAAGCATGTTTATTATCTTAGCTTTTCAGTTCTGATTTTGGCGCTATCTTTTCTTCTTCATGTATTCTAATTCCCATTTCTCCTTTGGTTGGGAACTCCGTGATGTGATACAGGCTTTGGTATTACATTTTTATTATGTTGCTTTAACTATAGATTGATAATTGAACTTTGAGATTCATCCGCATTGCAAATATCACTTTGGTATTACTGTTCTTACTCTGATTAAGTTTGCAAAATGATGATTCTCATTGTATGCTGTGCAGGAGCTATCCAAGGAAAAAGAATAAATAAGATCCTATCGTCTTCAACGTGATGCTATCATCCTTGGTCATCAGGAAAAACTCAGAAGACCATGGACCGCTCCTGCCACTCATAGTAAGAAACATGATCATAAATCTAGTCTAATATTTGTTCTGTAAACCTAAATTTTTGTTTTACTCTATAATATCAACAAATTTAGTCGACAAAAAAACAATACGAAGAGATCATGCTTAATTTTATAAATGGCTGACCTCGGGAAAAAAATGTTGTGAGGATTGGAGAAAAATTGTTGCACATTAATCTTCCTTCATGAGAAAAATTATAGTATTAATGAATTTGCCCACCCATCTTGCTTACAAGATGATATATTTTACGATTGGTGTAGGGTCATATGCGTTATCACTTTTTCTCAATTTTATGCTAAATGTTTTTTTCATATGATCAGAGATAAATTGTGGCACTGTCATTATAGGATATATACATTTCAATGTTAATTCTACACAGCAATATTTATTGTTTCAAAGATAGTCTATCAAATTAGCGCTACACTTTGCTATGATTCCACTGTTTTGTTCACCACGTTGAATACAAAACAGTGCAGGTCAGGGGTCTTCTTTGTGAAAAGAGTTTATTCAAACAGCCTAATTGGGTTACAGTTCTTCGATGGAATTCATGAAGGCACATATGAATGGGGTACAAAATTTATCTAAATGCTCCAAAACATTGTAGGATCGAACACAAGTAACCAAGCCTCCAAAACTTTTTTCAAAACGTTTTTTGTCAAAATCAACGCATCAAGAACACGATCATGCAAAGCAAATCCAAGAGCAAAAGAAGACTCCAACTTTTTAGATTTTTCAATCTCAGATTCCAATTTCTTGCAATTAACAGAATAGACATCTTGCAAAGCATTAATTTCAGAAAATAAAACTTTACAAGATTTGCAGTCATCATCATTAGGAATCAAATATTTTAATCTATCAATTCAGCATTTAGAATCTCAATAGTGTGATCCTTCTCATCAAGCATATTAGAACATGTTTGAAGTTTTTTAGCAAATTTGAAAGCAGCATATTCTAATTGATCATAACTAAGCTTTTCTTCACTATTACTATCAGATTCATCAACATCAGAACTTGCATTACGAGCAATAAAAGCTAGATCAACAACTTGCTTACCTTTGCTCTCATCTTCATCCTCCGATTCATCAAAAGTTCTTATTAATTCTTGGATTAGCCACTGCATGCAATTCTTCTTCTTCTCCTTCGTGATCTTCTTCTTGTCAACTTCATTCTCCAAAACTCTACCATCATCTTCCTTCTTGCCTCTCCCAAGCTTAGGACATCGTGAACGAAAGTGATCCGTAGAACCACATTCAAAACAACGATTTGGTCCACCTCTTTTCCTGTACCTAACATTAGCCACAGCTCGAGAAAGTTTGTTAGTAACCAAAACCAAGTCCTCCTCGAACTGTTCGAGTTACTCATCGGACATGGCATTAATCAAAGCAAGAACAGTAGAATTTGATGAAGAAGCACCAACATCCAAAGAAGTCGAGGAAGAAACCAAAGCACTAGAATTAGAATCAATTTTACGAGAAAGAATATTCATCTCATGTGTTTTCAGTTTTGTGTAAAGTGAATCCAAAATCAAAGTAGACATATCGACAGACTCCTGAATTGATGTAAATTTCATCTCCCAAATAGACATGTCAAGACCATTCAAAAAGTGACGAGAAACTTCAGATTGAGAGTAATTTTTGTCATAAGCAGAATCAACCGATCTAAGATCACTCAAAATTTTGTTGAATCTAGAAAGATAGTCATCCAAAGCTTCTCCAGGTTTCATCTCAAACTTAATGTACTCCTTTTTAAAAAGATCACGACGAAGTTCTTTAATATTTGAAGTTTCTTGATGAAAATTTTTCAAAGCGTTCCAAATCTCATGAGCAGTTTGAAAATGTGAAGCACGATCAAAATCCGAACGAGAAATCCCACTCAATAAAATATTGCGAGCTTTTGCAATTTTGTTCAAATTCAGTTTTTAAAGCAGCAGTACTGATTTGATCCGGAATCACATAAGGATTAGAAACTTTCCTCCAAATATCAAGATCCTCAGCCTGAATATAAGATTGCATCTTACTACACCAATAAGGAAAATCCGTTCCATCGAAAACATGGGGCTTAGTTGTAAACTTATTAGCTATGGCAAAAACTTTAGATCGGTTAAAATCCAAAGAAGAAAACGAGGCTCTGATACCACTTGCAGGATCGAACACAAGTAACCAAGCCTACCAGATGGGGGTGAATGGTAAGGAAAACCAAAAACCCAAAAACTTTTAGCGGAAATAAAAGTTACCCTCAAATCGATGGAAATCTCGACGTAGTCCTGTCGCCGCCGGTCGGACCGCTCGCACGCCGCCGGTTAGATCGCCTCCCTGCCGCCTGAACCCGAAGAAACACAAATCGAAGAACTCTCAAAGTAGATGACAACTTTATTGCTTCTCTCTGTGTTTACAAAGTGCACCAACAGCACTCCTTACAAAAATCTCGACTAAACTCGAAACCCTAACTAAACTAGAAACTCAATTGCTATGAAAAGCTATACAGGAAGCCTCACGCTTCCTCTCTATTTATACCGTAAAAATCCCCTACTCAAAGTAGGTGTCAAATTAGGTGTAGAGCTTCTATTTCCAACAGGATTCAATTCCTCAATTTCCTTTTCTCCAAAACCACAGCCGTACCAGCCATGGAAAATCCTGCTCCGGATCGGACGCCTCCGTACCGATCCTTCGCCAGCTCGCACTCGGTCTCCTGGCCGCCTGGGCCGACTCGGCCTGCCATCCAACCGAGCCACTGCTGCTCCTCCCAGTCCAAGCCACGGACCTGCATACATGCATGCTACCTGCACACATGTACATCACGTTCATGCAAACTACACGCTACAGTACATCGAGTACTGTAGCAACCATGCCCTCCACCGTACATGTACATCTCCATCTTTTCTCATTCCTCCTCGCGAACACCGACGCTTGCACGCACACCTCATAAAACCCGTTGCGAAGATCTCTCACACACGGTGTCCATCCACCGTGTGCCATCTTGTATTCAACTTCGTCACCCGGTATCCTTGACCATTTGGACCTCAACTTCTCCCTGAGTTTAGTCCCGGTCCCCACCGTTGACCGAAGTTGACCTCCAAGAATCCTGACTCTAGTCACCTTTTCACATGGTATCCTGACCGCACTAGACCTATGTTCCTCCCTGAACATAGTCCCGATCCTCACCATTGACCAAGGCTGACCTCAAATCACCTGCACACAATCAGACATCACCATTGACCAAGGCTGACCTCAAGTCACCTGTACACAATCAGACAAAACAACTGTTCCTGGGCATAGATATCACAACCTGACCCACATTAGTCACACGCACTCACACCAACATCCACACATCTTTCCAAACCAATTCACTAATTAAATCATTTGCATAGCCAATTATTCATCACAAACATTAATCATGACAACGATTTCACAAACATTACTTTGTGCAATATTTTTAGTACAACACCATTTCTCCTTTATGTTTGTCGTTCTTTTAGTTGAGAAAACATTTTTAGAGGTGCCAATTGCCAGCTTCGAAGCTAATTTTTGATGCAAGCTTTAGCTCAGATCAATATTCATGAGGGAAAAAAGGTTTGTTCGCATTGATTTAGGCAAATGGCATTCTCATTTTTACCATTCTACTGCCTCCAGACCCCAGTTGCAAGAACAAAATTCAAATGGTAAAAATGAAATATTGAGATTAAGAGCACTGCAAACAATATTCTTTCTAAAAATAGATGCAATTCTTCTGAGTCCATGTGATGCACCTTTTCGAGTGATTAGGATCTGATCATGAGAATTATCAGTTATACACCTATTTAAATAATCTCTTAAAATGTATATGATTAATGCAACGATTTCAATAATTTAGCATGATGCCTAATCTAATCCTTTACTCAATTATCTTGCAGGCAATCTTGATCAATTAATTGCTTCAGTTTAGAGAGTTTTTTTCCTACAGGCAGGTGAGATGACCACCAGGCACCAGCACAATAGCTCATTACAAGAGCACAAACCAGACTGAAGATTGTTTGGCAGCTGAAACTGCACTGTGTAGGCAGTAGCCCTTCTTGAGAAGTGATGGCCATGACTTTTGAGCCTTTGATCATCTGGAACAGCAACACTTGGGACCTGTACAAATTTGCTGATGGTTCCTTCTACAAAAATTGAATGTGCAATATCTGAATGTTGCCTACTTCTGAATTGTCGAAACAAGAATTTGGCAATAATAACAAGAATTCGGCAATAATAAAAGGGGATAGCGCACGAGACCTAAAAGTGGATGGATGCGGAGACAAAGGATTTAGACAGGTTCAGGTCCTCTCGATGAGAGGTAATACCCTACTCCTGTTTGGGGATTTGAATCCACCGGGTGTAGTATAGATCTGACGATCTAGTTGTCTCATGCCCCCTAGAGGGCCTTCTGCCCATCTTATATAGGATGGGGGGCAGGATTACAAGATATAAACCTTAACCAATACATTATTGGTTTCATAAATCTACTTTACAATCTTATCAAACCAGGATTTTAAGCCGTTCCATAATATACAAGGAAACGTAATACCCAAGTCATGATCCGTTACATATTTCATAGATATAAGTTATCCCCTGTATCAGTCGGATAACCACGCCGTGTGGGTATGGGGTACCCATAATCTCCACAGTAGCCCCTGAGACCTTCACAGTCGAAAAGATAATCTTCTCTCGAACCAGATTACTCCAAAGCCGAGTGCTTCAATCATCTTTGCCATGGTCTCCTAAGTACTTTTACCAAATCTGAAGACTGTGGAGGGCTGAAAAATAACTGAATGTAAACTTAGGTGCATCGACTAGATGCACCTAATAGGTGTAGCTCCCGACTATGGGGTTAATTGAATAAACTAAGCATATAGTCAGGGAATAAATAATCCAACCAACTGAGTGGTTTTTGATAATTATAGTCAACCAAGTGACTTGATACCAATATATAGTATATGCGGTGTGAAATCCCGAATAATATGATCCAAGTGATATACCGACTGCTTTGTAGAATATGATGCGTGCAACCTAAAGTTGACAACATCTTTGAAAATTCACATAGCAAAACAGCTATAAAGAAGCTTGTATGTTGTGAATAAAGAAATTTCCAAAGTATTGGGCATACGCCATGCGCACATTGCTTTAACAGATGTGCTTAAGTCCCTAAAAGACACATGGCTTCACCACACCCGGAAATATACGATATATGTGGTGTAAAATCCGAGTAAATAAACTCATAAAGGATTTACCAACCGCTTGAAAAATGACCAAGATATATAATCAGCCTAAGCCTTAATATTAGTCAATAAAAATGCACACTTACATGGCAAAAAGCAATGATATTATATCCAATCAATTGCTTAAAAACCCAAATAGCACCTTGACCTATATAAAAAAGTCAGCGGGTCAGCTATATAAAGTTTTACTGTTTGACACCTTTTAAGATGCATTGTACCAACTCCTAAAAAGTTGAGTAACTGCGGTATAAAAGGATTTTAAGGTATTAGGCACTTGATCACGCGCACTTTGGCCTAAGCAAAAAGTGCCTAAGTCCCTAAAAGAACGTGAAAATATGGGCTGCAGATATATTAGGCCTAGGCCAAAAAATATGCCTTCGACACCCTTCAAAGGATGACGCATGTAACATGCTCCTGAGTAATAAATCTTCCGGGTGATATAGACCAAGTGTAGCTCATATGAATAGCTTATGATCTGAGTGATTATCCCTTATAGGATACTCCAAAATATATATAATAATTGAATCCCGATTGGCGCGAGTATTCGGTTGATGAACCTTACGGGGAATAATAAATAGTCCAGTCTTTGAGCATAGAAAATAGACCCATGATCATGAATTCATGTTGCATGTATCCAGAACGAGTTCAAATTGAAGGTATGATACTTGTGTTTGAGTTAGTAAGCCCCTGATCATATAGCTTGTCCTTCTGTCGTAGTCAGAATGGTCCATTGATGGTAGCCGACGCAGTTGGCATAGAGACAAGACGACCAATATAGAGATAATATTGCCCACCTGAGGTGGCAAAAATATTGGTGGTAGTGAAGATAGTGATACCAATCAAAAGTGATGAAGTCGGTGATAGACAAGGCAGCTGATGAAGAAGATGAAGATGCCCATTAGTGGTGACATAATAAGCCATCCGTGAAGGCGAGGATACCGGTCGGTGGTGACGAAAGCAAGCCGACGGTGAAGATGTAGACACGCATTAAAGGCGATGACGAAATCCACCAATCATGAAGATGAAGAAAATAGTTGGCAACGGCAAATGCAACCGACAGTAATGATGATAAGCAGCAATCATAGATGAGCGACTATGATGACGAAGATGCCCATCAAACAGCAGTAGAATAGGCTATGTTGAAGAGGCTTGACAGGATATTGATGAAGATGACGATGTCGGTGATCCAGTCAATAGCGGTGTAGCAGCCGATGATAACGATGAGATCCTCTATCGGCAGTTGCGTAGTAGGCCAACCGTGAAGACGAAATAACAAGTCGGCGATGAAAGTCGGTGATGACAAAAGCAACCGACGGCGAGGACGTAGTCACCGCTTAGCAACGGCGGAGACATCAGGGCCGATGAAGTAGATTTGCTGGTGATGATGTCAATAACAACAATCCATCAAACTGTTGAGAAGATATCAAAGCTCGAGTAGTTTCATTGATGCGAGCGTGTGCATAAAGAAGACTGATGCAACGCTTCTTGATCTATAAAGATGGCAGTAGAACTTGGAATTGTAGCTGTTGTAGATGCTTCACTTGAAGGAAAGTAAATGTTGTTGTCCAACTCATCGAAACTGAGCTGATTGGTTGATAACTCTAAACTCCCGAACATGTAGATAGAATCTCAAACTTGATACTTGAAAAATTTGGAGTAGATTATGGCAGCTTCCAGAAACCAAAATTGCTGGTGAAATAATTGGAGTTGCTGAAGTAGAATGTCTGCTCCGAAGCAAAGATAAAGATAATGACTCCTGGAGTTGACTCGTTGACTGATTAATTGATTTCTTCAGCTTGTCGAATTTTGAGAGTCTTGTATCTGTGTAGCCCCCGACTCTTTGGTTAGTTGGAAAGCAACTGAACATAGAGTCGAGAACTGTAGTTTATTGTCGTCGAGTAGCCATCACTTGAGTGAAGATATGTATTGAGGATGTCCGGGTAGAAATCTTTACTAGAACACCACTTGTTATAATAACATGGCATCATATTTGGCGACGCATACCGAGATGTCAAAGCTCTTGTAGAAGTCATGGCTGGTGAAGTAGCAAAACTTGCGAAGTAGCGGCAATAGAGTTTGCCGGTGCTGAAGACAATGAAGATGAAGTAGCTCCACCATGGTGACAAAGTTGCACAGCCATGATGAAGTGAACATGAGTCGATGACAGAAGCAAACCGGTAGCAAAGACGCGCAGTTGTGAAGATAATAACAAGTCGGCGGCGGAAGAAGTAGAATAATGATGAAAAGGAAGACGTCCTTGAGTGGCGGCAAAATAGGCCAGCCGTGAAAGTTAAGACACCATGAGCTGCGGCGAAGGCAAACCAACGATGACGATGACGCCAGTCAATGATGACGAACAAGCCAGTCGGCGTCAGACAAGGCGGCCAGCAATGAAGATGATGACATCCATCAGTAGTGGTAGTGGTATAAACTAGCCGTAGAGGCGATGGCTCTGGTCAGCAGCAGACGAGACAACCGACGGTGAAGATGATAAGGCCAATCAACACTGGCATAATCATGCAGCCGTGGAAGTGAAGAAACCAGTCGGCAGCAGACGTAGACAGCTTGCGTTGAAGATGATGATGACGCCCATCAACGGAGGCGGAGTCCACCGTCCTTATAGGCGAGAACACCAGTCGGCGGCGGCGAAACGGGCCAACGGTGAAGTCATAGATGCCCAACAACGGCGGCATAATAGGCCAGCCATGTAGGCAGAGACACCAGTCGGCGGCGGCGAAGGCGAGCCGACGGTGAAGACGTAGACGCCCAACAACGGCGGTGTGACCAACCAACCGTATAGGCGAAGACACCAGTCGGTGGCGGATGAGGCGGTCGGTCGGTGAAGACATAGACGCCCAACAACGGCGGCATAATAGGCCAGCCGTGCAGGCGGAGACACCAGTCAGCAACGGCGAAGGCAAGCCGGTCGGTGAAGACATAGGCGCCCAACAAACAATGGCATAATAGGCCAGCCGTGCAGGCGGAGACACCAGTCGGCTGCGGTGAAGGCAAGTCTGTCGGTGAAGACGTAGACGCCCAACAAACGGCGGCATAATAGGCCAGCTGTGCAGGCGGAGACACCAGTTGGCGGCGGCGAAGGCAAGCCGATCGGTGAAGACGTAGACGCCCAACAACGGTGGTGTGACCAACCAACCGTATAGGCGAAGACACCAGTTGGCGGCGGACGAGGCGGCCGATCGGTGAAGACAACAACGCCCAACAACGGTAGTGTGACCACCCAACCATATAGGCGAGGACACCAGTTGGCGACGACGACGGCAAGCCGGTGGTGATGTTCTGACTGATCCATTCCTGGAGCGTAGTAGATAAGCTTAAAGCCATGAATCCCTTTTATGCATATCTGGATCTGGATCGTACAGAACGAACATATAGATGTAAATATAATACTCGATGAAAATTCAAGTATTTTAAAATGTTTATAAATATGTATTTCTCCTCTCGTCAATTTTGATTTCCCCGAGCAGATGACTCGTTACGTTTAAACACTCTGCCCGACTAGTCATAGCCACCAAGCACCGGGAGTCGGCCTAGGCACTTCCCAAACATGCATATGAGTGACATGAGTTCGTTATTAATGGAACAAAGTTTCATGGATCAGAATTTACTACTTGGGTACTTTTACAATTATTAAGAGCAGAAAATAAATTTATCTCATCTCTATGCTTATGATTTATTCCGAGTAATACTTAGCACCTTGCATTACTCGGTCCATCCAACGAGCCCCCGGGTGCTAGGAATCGGCCCAAAGGCAACTATCCATCGACAAACCAAACGAAAAGCATAGGAAGATAGAACTCCATAACTCGATGGGAACTTTATTGTTACTCGGATTATTTTGCAAGCAATCAAGATAAATATTATGAAAAATTGTTAAAAAATATGATATAGTATCTGTAGCCCCTGACTCACTAGTCAACGGCGAACCAGTTGATGTAGTGAGGCAGAGGAAAAGGAAAATATCATATAAAGAAAAGTAATGATGACTTAGCTTTTT